CTCATCAGGACTGGGTCCTGGACCTCACCCTGTCCCCCCGCACCCCCCAACTTTAGCTGCTGTTGACTGTTTCTTTGTGAGGAGGCTCAGCTAGCCTGATTGTAGCGTTTTGGATCCTGACCTTCAATTTCCCAAGAAAGCAGAGATGCTATCCAGTGGCTAACGATATGCAGATGTTTATGCAAATAGGTGCTCCTGAATTCACACTCATCTTGTCTGAGCGAAGCTTAGGCAAGCCGCCTCCTTGAGTCATGACCCCCACCCACAGCACCACAGGCTCAGGAGACTGATGTATGCAAAACACGGGAGTTTGCAAACCAGGCTGCGGTTGATTCAGGACTGGTGTTCTAAGCTAAAAGTCTTCCAGCTCTGTACCGTGCAATCCTAGTGCTTAGGAAGATTCCTCCAAAGATGTCCTGGAGACTAGGACACTTAAGAGGTCAGAGGACAGAGGAACAGGGCAAAGGGCACCTTTGCTGCCTCCAAGGAGGCTCAATGTCAGGGCAACCACAGCAGGAGAACTAGAGGAAGGGTAATCCAGATTCATCCAGAATGTGTGGAGCCTGTGTTCTCTCCTACTCAGAACCAGGGTGTGGGTGTGGGGTGGGACCTCAGGATGGAGAGCAGGCACCAACGCGGCTCCCTCACAGTCAGGGGCATCTCTCTGTCTCCACATCTACAAAATGGGAGGGAAATATCTTCCTGACTCCCCCCAGAGGGACATGCCAGAGGATGTGTGTGCATGAAGTCACCCCCCCCCCCACCTACCCCATGGAGGTTTCTCATCACCAGGATGCTTGCCTGGTCCTGTGCAGTGCCAGGGGCTGGGAGCGGGCTCCCCCACCCCAGGTGTGGGATTTTAATGGGGATCCCACCTGGAGAGGCAGAACTCTAAGGGCCAAGATGGGTCAGGAAATGAACATGTTTACTGACCTTTTACATGTAATTTTACAGATATCCCGAAGCAAGTGGGTGGCTGGCTGGGTGCCTTCGTCATTGTTATTTGCATTACGGCTCTTTGCTCTTGCTTTCCTGGCAACCTCACCTACGGCACTGGACAGAAGATGGGGAGATAGCTCTGGACTCTGAGAAACCAAGGTGCTCCCAGGCCAATAAGCTAGTGCACACTTGTCCTAATGATCCTCATTGCATGGTGTCCCAGGCACCTCAGGACAGACGGAGCGGGTCGCAGGAGGCGGTGGGCAGAAGAGTGACAGGAGGTGCGCTGGGAGGTGCGCTGGGAGGTGCGCTGGGAGGTGCGGCTACGGCCTCGCCGCCTGCAGCCCCTGAATGAGTGCATGCGCGGCAGGAGTAGGTGCCAAGGCTGGCCGCGCGGAGGGCAGGCTGGCGCCCGGATTTAGATCAGCTGGTGGAGATGCAAGGCTTTGCATCACCACTGGCAGATGGATTGAGTGACACTGGGCAAGAGACTACCTTTCTCTGAGTTTCAGCTTCTTTGTTTAAAAAAAAAAATGGTAAAATACATACTTGCCAGCCTTGCATTATGGGTTCTAGTGCAGTGCATGCTATCTGTAAACTGTTATGTGAGAATAGAACATAACCAGCCATCTCTGTTCTGGAGAAAGGCTTTGAATCAGTTTAATTAGTACCAAGTGTGAACTAAGATTCTGAAGGCTGCCTAAGAAGTGGTCCTCTCCTGAGAGCTGCCTTCCCCAGAGTCTCACTCGGGTTCTGATGAGGGCAGGCGCCATGACCTCTTTGGTGAAACCTATGGACTCCTTGTTAGGATGATGTTTTTAAATGCGCCAAAGAAAACACTCTGGATTGCAGAGTAAATCAATTACCTTGATACACACTTATCAACTTTAAAAACTTTTTAATACATTTTGTAATAAGATCTACCAGCAGTTCTGACAAGCATGCTACAATCTGAAAGTAGCAATGGGCGATCACAGCAGTTTTGAGATTGCTGGAACAGATGTAACATCACCGTCAAAGTATATGCATTTCTAATCCATGACCAAGTCCCAGGTCTGTCCCTGATGTTCGTGTCCATTCATGCTAGAAGGAAATGCTAATTTTCAGTTAGAGATTAGTAAAACTAAAAATATCATTATTTTCCTATGCAAGTTCACAAACACCCTGTATTCTCTAGGAGAATGTGGACTCCTGATTAGGACCCCTCGAATTAGAGCCCATTTACCAGGAATGTCTGCCGGGCTTCCCACAATGTGCGGCACAGTCCATTCCTTCCCCTACCTCCCCCTCTCCCCCGTCCCTCCCCTACCTCCCCGTCCCTCCCCTACCTCCCCCGTCCCTCCCCCTCTCCTCCTCCTTTCTCACCTCACCATCTTTCTTTCTCTTTCTCCTCTCTCTCCGTCCCTCCTTCCTCCCTTCCCTCTCTTCCTCACCACTGTTTTCCCAACCTCACACCTTGCCTGGTACACGACAGCCCCTGATAAATATTTCTGAGAGTGAGGAAGTCCTTCAGTCATAGGCACAGGGAGGGGCTTCTATGATGAACCCCATCCTGTGTATTGTGTTGATAAAAAGGAACTCTGCCCGATTCCCTGCCCTCTAGAAACTGGACTTGGCAGGGACTTGGCTGGGGAGATTGTGTCTACAGGAAGCAGACTGTGTGTGTGTGTGTGTGTGTGTGCGCGTGCTGTGGGCAGGTGAGTTGTGTGGGCCCAGAGTGCTTCCTGGGTCTTGGCTTGGCCGCAGAGGGGAGGCTTCCTGCGGGCTGCAGGTGGCCGGCCACCCCCGTGGTGCTGGCCCCTCCCCACCGCGGTTGGGTTCCCCAGCCCTGATCCTCGCCACATGCTGGCGTTTCCGCCCCTCAATGTGTCCGGGATTTGTTTTCGTTCTCTTTGGTTAATCATGCCCTCCTAGCTTCCAGGACAAATCCTCAGAGCTCATGGGTTTCTACCTGGGGCTTTGAAGCATATTCTCGAAGTCTTGTTCCCATGAAAGTTTACACATCCTGGAAGGGAGTTTTCCACACCAGGACCTCAGCACAGCACATTCCTCGCCTCTTTTCACAGGAAACTTTGGGACTTCCTGCTGCATTTTGGTTGGCCCCTTGGTTTCTCCTGAGGCTTCCCGGGGCCAGGAGCACTCTGACATGTTGGTACTGCTGATCCCACGGTGGAATGTGGTCAAGCCCACACTGGTCAGTTGAGAGGTGGTTCAGGCTCCCAGTGGTGTTTGACCCTTCTGGGACCTTGGAGTATATTTTAAGAACAAAGATCGGACTCCCCTCAAGGGACTTATGTGGTGAAGGCAAGAGTAAAGGGCCCTGGTTCAGGGAGTGAGGTCATTTTTCTGGAAAGCCTCCTGTCGATTTCTGCCTGGAGCAGGGACTGCTGATGGGCCCGAGGAGCGGGGCCTGAAACAGCTTGGACCATTATGAGGAGGCAGCCGTGGCCCGGCTCCAGCTGATGGTGGTCAGGCAGGAACCTGGGGTTTGGTGTGACTGGGTCTCCTGATGGTTTTAAGGGAAGCAGGAGATCTTTATTTTCAATCAAATCTTAAATATTGGCAACTAACTAAAAAATGTAAACTTTTATTTATTTATTTATTTATTTATTTATTTTTAAAGATTTTATCTATTTGACAGAGAGAGACACAGCGAGAGAGGGAACACAAGCAGGGGGAGTGGGAGAGGGAGAAGCAGGTCTCCGGCGGAGCAGGGAGCCCGACGCGGGGCTCGATCCCATGACCCTGGGATCATGACCTGAGCCGAAGGCAGACACTCAACGACTGAGGCACCCAGGCGCCCCGTAAACTTTTTTTAAAAGATTTTTATTTATTTATTTATTTGACAGAGAGAGAGAGCGAGTGAGAGAGGGAACACAGCAGGGGGAGTGGGAGAGGGAGAAGCAGGCTTCCTGCTGAACAGGGAGCCCGATGAGGGGCTCGATCCCAGGACCCTGGGACCATGACCTGAGCCGAAGGCAGATGCCTAACGACTGAGCCACCCAGGCACCAATCAAAATGTAAGCTTTTTAATTTTGTATGTTTTGGTGGGCCCAGACAGAATGCATCTATGGGCTAGATTTTGCCTATGAGTTCTCTCATCTTCCCATTCACCCAACAAAGTGGGAATGTTGATGCCTGGTCTGAGCATCAGCAGCTCCCAAATGTGAAAGAGGTTCTAAAGAGAAGGAAGCATTTTGTAAATGCGCCGTATCCCTTGCTGTTAGCAATGGCAATTAGCTACACACGGGCGGACAGTAGCTAGTTGTGGGAACACAGTCCTTGAGTCTTGAATAATTATTTTATGTTCACCATGAATGCTTATTTTTTTTGTTTGTTTTGTTTTGTTTTTGCTAGATTATAAGATCCTTGAGGGTGGACCAATATAAACCACAATCTATGCCAGTTTCTCATGGCTGCCGTAATTGGTGACCACAGCACACACATTAGAGTTCTGGAGGGCAGAGGTCCCAGTTGCGTCTCATTAAAACTAAAATCAAGTCATCAGCAGGATTGTGTGCCTTCTGGAGGCTCTAGGGGAGAACTCCATTTCCTTGTCTTTTTCAGAGCCTGGAGGCTGCCCGCATCCCCTGGCTCTTGGCCCCATCACTTTGTCCTCTGCATCCATCTTTGCTGCTCCTCCCACATGGAGCCTCGTGGCTGGAGCATGGTCGTGCTGGCCAGCTCTGGAGGCAGCTAGCTAGGAGCCCTGGAGTCAGCACGGGCTTGGAATCCCAGCTCACCTCCTGCCTGACCCAGGCAAATACCGCCACCTCTTCATTTTATTGTGATACAATTGACATAACATTGTATAAGTTTAAGGCTCACAACATACTGATTTGATACAGTTCTATTGTGACATGATTGACACTGTGTTGCCTCCCGTAGCTATCATTCTCCCAGTCCCATCAGCTCTGGGTACGTCAGATCAACACTGGCCAAGTGGGGACCATAGCAATGCCTGTCCCGGGGTGGGTGGTTATGTTGGATGAGCTGACAAGTCGGGAGCGCTGAGCTCAGCCATGACAAGGGAGGAGGGCAAAGGGCAGCTTGTTCCGGCCATGGCCAGGGTAACCAGCTGCCTCAAGCTCTATGCAGGGGGTTCCATGAGGGGACCATGAAGACCCCTGGACAGTGGGAAAATCTCGACAGTTCCAGACAAATGGGGATGAGGGATGATGCGGTGGTCACCCTGCTAGGTGCTACCATCACCATCTTACTCAGCATTGCCTGAGAGGAAAGGAGAAGGGGTTGGTGTTGAGGGGCAGGAGGCTTCCAGGAGAAAGAGCCCTGTGAGATTTGGATTTCTGGAATTAACAATTGACTTAAAAGGATACCCTCCCTTTGTAACCCGATTTAAAATCGAGTGCCTCAGAAAAGGGAAGACATAAAGCCTGGAACCTCGGAATCCCAGCATGACGAATGGATGGTGGGTGGGGGAAATGTTTGCAAGAGGAGTCTTGGGCGCTGCGCTCACGGGACCCCACTTCACCATGGACTGCCCAGCCATGCACAGGCCAGCAGCGAGACTCCAGGGATTCGTTATATTTGCTGCAACAAATGTGAGGTGACTAGGATTTTTTTTCACAAACCCACATGTTTTGGGATCTCTTCCTACTCTATACTATCCTCCCTTACCTTGACCTACCCCACCCTACACTCTCCTCCCCTACCTTGCCCTACCCTACTCTACCCTATCCTATGTTGCTAAAGGGAGTCCAATCCCCATGGCATGTAGCACTTGGAAAAGGCCACATCCTGTGCCTGTCCCAGAGCAAGGTTGGAAAACTATAGCCCAAATGTCAAATTTGACTCGTCACCTATTTTTGTGAATGAAGTTTTATTGGAGCACAAAATTTTTTGTGTATTGTCTGTGGTTGCTTCCTGCCACAAAAGCAGAGCTGAGTAGTTACAGCTGAGACTATAAGGCTCAGAAAACCTAAAATATTTATGTACCTGGCCCTTATAGGAAAAGTTTGCTGATCTTTGATCTATAGTAAAAAGACTGAGGATAAATGCTGAAAATATGAGCAGATATGGCACATAATACCCTGAAATATAAGGTCTCAGCAAGGTTTGCTATACAATCAAAATGATGGCGAGGCAGAGAATCTTTGGGTATACACCCCTCAAAATTGAAAATAAGTACTCAACAAAATGCACACACTAATGTTTATAGGAGCATTATTCATAATGACCAAAAGGCAAAAATAACCCCAATGTCCATCAACAGATAACTGGATAAACAAGCGTGATAAGTCCATACAACAGGATATTATTCGGCCACAACCAAGAATGAAGTACTGATCCATGCTACAACATGGATGAACCTTGAAAATATTATGCTTAGTCAAAAAAGTCGGATACTAAAGACCATATACTTACAATTCCATTTCTATGAAATGCGCAGAATAGCTAAGTCCAAAGAGATGAATGAGATTAGTGGTTGTCAGGAGCTGAAGCGAAAGAAGGACAGGGAATGACTGCTCAGTGGGTTCGGGGTGTCCTTTTGGGGTGATGACAATATTTTGGAGCTGGATGGAGGCAGTGGTTGAACGACATTGTGAAGGTGCTGAACGCCACTGAATTGTTTCTTCCAAACGGTTAATTTTCTGTTTTGTGAATTTACGTCCATTGAAAAAAATGATGGGGATGCTAAACAGCATGATGTATCCCAGAAGGGCATCAGCAGCCTTGGGAGGCCTCAATGTGCCAGCCTCCCTGCATCTATGATGCACCTGTGCATGGTGTGTCTACGATGATCCTAAGTCCTTTCTGATAGAGGAACACTATATACATTTCTCAGGGCATATTTCTATTAAGTCAGTTGGCAGAGTCCTATTATCACTCTTCAGAATCTCTCCATTAGGTAGGTCCTGTCTATTGCCAATAAACTTCCCCATTCCAACCTTCATGGTGCTTGGTTTCCTACACAAGAAATAGTCGCTAGTAGAGATCTTGTTTCCACAATGTGTTCATCTTAGACACACATATATTTCTTGGAGGGGGCAGGCAGGCAGAGATGGCAGAGAATGGATGGAAATGCACTAACAAAGAGGGTCTTGTTGCAGGGTTCTGAAAAGGACAGGATGGTGGTGGCACTGGGAGTGGCAGAGGTTGAGAAATGTGGTCAGAGACAAAGTCCCTGTGGGCAATTAGCATGGAGACAAGACTCTTGGGTTGTGGAGGGGCGATTTGTAGAAGGCATGCTGGCTGCATTGTGCAGTTTTGGAGGTGCCGTTACATCATGGCTGCAAGTGTGGAGTCCCTGTGGTTGCATAGTGCACAGCCTGAGAAACTGTACACAGTGATCTCTTGAGTAAAAATCAATTCAGACCAGACCAATTAGCCTAATCTTATTTCTTTCATATGCCAGCATAATATAAAAAAGCTTCACTGGTAAATGCTAAAGTTTGGGTACTGATAATGAACTATATTTTTCTATGTTCTTAATCATTAGAAGCTAAATTCTTGTTAACACTGTTAATACGTTTCTGTTAAAGTCCTTAAGCAATCCTATAAGACATGAACATCAGTTAATAAGAGAAATTTAGCTTCTTAGTTATCTGGTCAATTGGTATCAATTGAACCGATTTTTGGCCAATAACACAGGGCCCTGGAAAAGACCTTGTTTGGTGAGTGTGGACAGTTGAGATTCTAAGTGTAGTTTGCCCAAACTTAGCCTTTCTTGATCAAGGGCAAATCCAAGTCCCGAGGAGATGAATAGATCTGACCAGCCCTGGTGGTGAGAGAGTTGAGAAGAGGGTCAGGGCATCATGCCCTCTTTGGGGCAGGCTGAGGTTCTGGAGCTGTCCTAGGATAGATATAGACTTCTGGTCAACAGGGACCAATCTGGGAGCCAGTGTGTTAACCCTTGCCCTTCCATTGCAGCCAAACTGTAACTCACAGTGATGTTAGTTGCATTACATTGGTGGATCATAGATCCTCCTCTAAAATCTAAAAAAAATTATGAACTTTCTCCCCAGAATGTGCATGTATGATGTACTAGTTTGCTAGAGCAGCTGTAACAAAGTAGCACAGACGGGGGCGGGGGGTTTAGACAACAGGAACGCACTGTCTTACAGTTCTCGTGGCCAGAAGTTCGAGGTCAAAGTGTGGGCAGGTTTGTTCCTTCTGAGGCCGTGAGGGAGAGTGTGCTCCAGACTCTCTCCTTGGCTTGTGATGGTTGTCTTCACCCCATGACTCCACATCATCTGTCCTGTATGCATGTCTCTGTGTACACATTTCCCCTTTTAATAAAGATACCAGTCCTTATAAGCTTGGTTTAACTTGATCACCTCTGCAAAAGACCCTATCTCCGAATGCAGTCACATTCTGAGCTACTGGGGAGGGTTTTAGGACTCTGATATCTTTTTTAGGGGGAATGGGACACAAGCAGGAACTTTGCATGTGTTTGGGTGGTTTGGCCCAGCTTCTTATCCCCCTGCCAGCTACCATAAGAAGAACTGTGTAGCCTCCCCTCCGGGTGCCCTGCACCCCAACCCTGACCTCCGGAGCTCTGCCTGCTGTCGGAAGGATTTTCCTCCATTGCTTAAAAGTTGCTGGCCACCATCAACCTGCAGTCACAACATGAGCTGCAGTTATTAACCAACTTTCTCTTAAGTGTGCAGAGGGTTCAGCCCAAGATGGTGATGGAGTACTGGACAGGGTGGTTTGACTCGTGGGGAGGCCCACACAACATCCTGGATTCTTCTGAAGTTCTAAAAACAGTGTCTGCCATCCTTGATGCTGGCTCCTCCAACAACCTCTACATGTTCCATGGAGGTACCAACTTTGGCTTCATAAATGGAGCCATGCATTTTCATGAATATAAATCTGATGTCACCAGCTACGACTATGATGCTGTGCTGACAGAGGCTGGGGATTACACAGCCAAGTACTTCAAGCTCCGAGGTTTCTTTGGCTCTATCTCAGGTGTCCCTCTTCCTCCCCAACCTGACCTCCTTCCCAAGACTGCGTATGAGCCCTTGAGACCGAATTTATACCTGTCAGTGTGGGATGCCCTGCAGTACATGGAGGAGCCAGTCAATTCTGAAAAACCAGTCAATATGGAGAACCTGCCAATAAACAATGGAAATGGACAGTCCTTTGGGTACACTCTGTACAAGACCACCATTGCTTCATCGGGCATCCTCAGTGGTCTTGTGCGTGACCGGGGACAGGTATTTGTGAACACAGTGTCTGTAGGATTCTTGGACTATGAAAGGAAGAAGATTGTTATTCCCTTGATCCAGGGTTACACCAGGCTGAGGATCTTGGTGGAGAATCGCGGGCGAGTCAACTACGGGGATAACATTGATGACCAGCGCAAAGGTTTAATTGGAAATATCTATCTGAATGATTCTCCCCTGAAAAAATTCAGAATCTACAGCCTGGATATGAAAAAGAGCTTCTTTCAGAGGTTCAGCGTCGACAAATGGAGCCCCATCCCTGAAGTACCTACGTTCCCTGCTTTCTTTTTGGGTGCCTTGTCTATTTCCCTTTCCCCTTTTGACACCTTCATGAAGCTGGAGGGCTGGGAGAAGGGGGTTGTATTCATCAATGGCCAAAACCTTGGACGCTACTGGAACATTGGACCCCAGGAGACCCTCTACCTCCCAGGTGCCTGGTTGGACCAAGGCATCAACCAGGTTATTGTTTTCGAGGAGAAGATGGCAGGCCCTGTGATACAGTTCACTGAAACACCCCACCTAGGCAAGAGCCAGTATCTTGATCGAGCACCACCCCGCGCCCCCTGGTGGCGGGAAGCAGGAGAGCACCACAGTCCCCCCTCAGCTGACCGGAGCCTGGTGCTCTGCTCCTTCACACCCTCCCATGCAGGAGAGTTTCCTTAAGTAGCATCCTCAGGCAGCCATGTGGCTACAGCAAGGCCCACTCGTTCAGTTCAAGACCCTAAACTTGGAAGAACTGAAGAAGAAAAGTGGCATAGGAGGGTGGGATCCCCTCTTTACCTCAGTGGCTTTAAAAAATTTTTTATTGTTATGTTAATCACCATACATTACATCATTAGTTTTTGAAAAAAAAAAAAATAAGAAGAACTGTGTAGCTGCCACCAGGTTAGACAGATACATGGAGCCAAGCTGAACCTGGTTTGCAGTCCCAGCCAGTCTGCCGAACTGTGAGCAAGAGACAGATGTTTGTTGTTCTAAAGCCACTAAGATTCGGGATTGTTTGTTATATAGCATTACCCCAGGGGTTGCTGATGGATGCAGCAGATCACAAACCTCAGATTTATAAAATACCTGCTCCTCTTGGTGGAATACTTCGGGGTTGTAACTTTGATGTGGAAATTATAGATTCATCTGAGAGCATTATCTAATCTAACTCTTACTTGAGAAATGATGAAACTGGGTCTGAGAGGTTAAGTGACTTACGCAGCAGAGTCTATTAGTCAGAATTCTGCCCTCTTCTGATACTTTTTGTTTGTGGATCTTGTCGCTCTGACCTTTGGCTTCAGTGCCCTTGGCAGACCCTTAAAAAGGACATCGGTGAAGCAGAATGAACTTGAATGTCATCTTTTGTGTCTTTTTCCTTGGAGAGTGACCCGAGTAAAAAGTGGTTTGGCCCTGGGCCTGGTAGGATCATGGGTTAGTCACATGGCGAGGACAATGGAATGGGTGTGTCAGACACAAGCCAGGGACATCTAGAGAGAAATACTAAGGGGAGAGAGAAACTGAAGATGTGTGGGAAGGACAGGACACACAGAGTCAGGAAAAGAAGAGCAGCCCATGCAGGGACTTGGTTCTGCACTAGCGCAGAGTGGGAATCAGCTACTGGTGGGAAGTCAGCCCCGAGTCTGCTGGTTCAAGGAGGCTTCAGGAAGATCTCCATCCAGCTTTCAGGTTGCTAGGAGAACAACCGTTCTTTAAGAACCATGGCCCCGTGGAGCCAAAGCCGCAGATTCTACTCTGGCCTTCCCGATGCTGAGTTGGACGAGGATTCAGACTGCGGCTCATACAGTACACACAGAATCAACAACAATCCTTTGAACCAGCACAACACGAATGAGATCAAAGCAATGCTGGAAACACCAGCATGGGGCTGAGAAGAGATGCCAGGGGCAAAAGGTCTCACATCGCTTGTAAGTGAGTTCAGCCAGGAACAGACCAAGGAGTGGTCTTGCGGGTTTTAGAGAGGAGAGTATTTTGTGTAGCCTGCTTACCCATCTTTGGGTATATCCATCCTCAGGACTGGCTATGTACTTGGTGGGGCCCAAGCAAAATAAAAATGCAAGGCCCTTGGCTCAAATACTTTTAAGAATTCCAATACAGCAACAGCATCAATTTGAACCAAACACAGGGCCCTTCTGTGTAGGGGGTCCAAGGTGGCTGCTTGGACCACCTGCTCAGGAAGCCAGTCCTGTCTGCTCTACATAGTCCAGGATGATTATTTTCATTTCAGGTGGAACAATCAGTCATGCACGTGAATGAAAATGGACTCTACATTTTGAACTACAGTATAAGTATTAGATAAATTGCAACAGAAATATTTACCTACTTAGAAAATGTCAGAATGGAGCTTTCTACCAGGGCAACTAAATGTCTGCCATTCATCATGTGAGCATCAGTGATCTGATGCCAGGTAATGATCCTGTTATTTGGCCTAGCCTCATGAAATTCTCTCCACCCGCCTTGTGGCACTAAGGACATGTCTTTTCTGGGGAGTTTAAAATAATCCAAAGATGCTCTCTATCTAGGGTTGCCACATAAAATATAGGACACCCACATAAGCTGAATTTCAGATAAACAGCAAATACTTATTAGTATAAGTATGTCCCAAATATTACATGGGACATACTTATGCTAAAAAATTATTTGTCGGGCACCTGGGTGGCTCAATCGGTTAAGTATCTGCCTTCGGCTCAGGTCATGATCCTAGGGTCTGGGGTGTCTTCACAGGGCAGAAGGGGCAAGGGGCTTTCTGGGGTATCTTCTTCTAAGGGCACTAATCCCTTCAGGAGGGCTCTTCCTCATGACCTAATCACCTCCCAAAGACCCCGCCTCCTAGTACCATCACATGGGATATCAGGGCTTCAACATGTGAATTTTGGTGGGGGGACACACATATCCAGTCTATAACATAGGTCTTAGGACTTCAGCCTATCTTTTTTTGGGAACACACTTCAACCCATAACACAGTCCCAGGACCGTCCAGGGCCTTTCTATTCTTAAACTTGGCTGGATGGTTTGCATTCAGAGGGCTGGAGAACCTGTCTGTACTGGTCTGTTGAAGACCCAGCCGCGGTAAATCGAGAGGTGTCAAGTGATAGAAATGCAGCTCATCAGAGGACAGGTGCAGAGAGAACCAAGGCTGTCTACAGAGGGGCAAACGTGTGTCTGTTCAACACTCCAGCGGTTGGGTGCACACGCGGAAGTTTTCACATAGGATGGCAAACATGCACGCTAACTTCTGCAAAGTAAACATTTCTGGAAATGCTTGCTTCATGGAAGCAGCCCACACATTTTACACAGAATGTTACACAAGCTTTGGAAATCATGGGTGGAAATTGTTTGCAAAATCCTTTGGAGCCTTATAACAAATGTTTGCCTCGGTCTTGAAGCCTAAAACAACCTTTCTATTTCAAAAAACATTGGCTAATGAGAAAGGCATTTTTAGTTGAAAGGAACGGAAGACAGGGTCATCATTACAAAAGAGACATTGACCACAGCACGTTGGTAAAGCAAAGTGTCAGCCTGGGACTCTAATCATATTGTCGCTTTTATCAGAAACAAGGGTGGTAGCAGGTCTTCAGAGAATATTTTGTGGAATGGACTTAATGATCACTTTAATAAGCACAGTCCTCTGATTTCTGGATTGGTTGTGTTAAATCAAAGGCCACTATGATAATAGTCAAAGGAAGCCCTGACTAGGGTGAGGGACAATTTGTAGCAGATAAATATCTGGTTTCCATTAGTCCGTATTCTTCTGCTTGCCAGTGAGAAGACGTGGGATGCCAAGCCCATTTTGGCAGGCTGATAAATTGTGTGAATTTTCAAAGAGACAAACAGATATAAAATGGTCTTTAAGAATACTTACAGGGGCGCCTGGGTGGCTCAGTCAGCTAAGCATCTGACTCTTGGTTTCGGCTCAGGTCATGATCTCAGGGTCGTGATATTTTTGGGCTCTGTGCTCAGTGGGGAGTCTGCTTGAGATTCTCTATCTTCCTTTTCCTCTGCTCTGCCCGCCCCGCCCCGCCCCGCTCTGGCTTGTTCTCTCTCTGTCAAATAAATAAACAAATAAAATCTTAAAAAAAAGAATACTTACAAAAGGGGCTCTTAGGTGGCTCAGTAGGTTAAGTGTCCGACTCTTGATCTTGGCTCAGGTCGATCTCACGGTTGTGAGTTCAAGCCCTGTGTTGGGCTCTGCACAGGACGTGAAGCCTACTTAAAAAGAAAAAAAAGGATACTTACAAAAATTATGGCTTTGAAGTTTGGGGGAATCCTGTAGATCAGTGCTGCCCAAGAGAAATGTGAAACCTCTTGTAACCTAAAATATTATAATGATATAATGAAGTTAATTTTAATAATATAACTTACTTAACCCAATAAATCCCAAATATTGTCATCTCACCATATATTCAGTGTAAAAATTATTGAGACTTTACGTTCTTTGTTTGCATCTAAATCAAATCCAGTGTATCTTTTATACTTACGGCACATTCCAATTCTCAGTTCCAACAAACTACATTTCAAGGGTTCAAAGCCCCAGTAGCCAGCACTACCATACAGGAACAGCTCAGATTTATTTATTTTTATTTTTTAAAGGTCTTATTTATTTATTTGAGAGAGAGAGAATGAGTAGTGGGGAAGGGCAGAGGGAGAGGGAGAGAGAGAGAAGTAGGCTCCCTACTGAGCAGGAAGGTCCATGCGGGCCTCGACCCCAGGACGCTGGGATCATGACTTAACCTACTGAGCCACCCAGGCCCCCCTGAGAGAGCTCAGCTTTAAACCTTTGCTACTCCAAGTGTGGTCCTTTTGGACCAGTGCTATTTGCATCAACTGGGCATTGTTAAACATGCAGGGTCTCACTCCCCACTGGCCCAGACCTGCTGAATCGGCGTCTGCATTTTAAACGAATCACTTCTATGCACATTGGCACACTGCAGTTTGAGAAGCTCTGTTGTAGACTTCACCTCTTCGGACCCCGGGGGCAGGATGCTTCTGCGCAAAGAGAAATGAGGAGGTATCTCTTTCCCTGTGGCCTGACCACAAACCAGCAGCTGTTCTCCTGTCCCCAGCTTCTCACTGCCCTGGGCTAGCGGTCCCCATTGATCCTGCTGCCCTGCTCGTGGAGTGCCCACTGCTCTAGGCTCTCTCAGGGTGGTGTCCTGAACTGTTGCCCCCTCATATCTGTTGGCTGGTAATGAAAGCTGGCTTGCACACAGCAAAAGAGAAAAGAAACATTCAATTCCTTCCTCTAAAAACTGGGGCTTCAGAAGGCCCTGCTTTGGTTTCGGATGCTCAGTAACTGCGAATGGGGGGTTGATCGCTGTTAGCCCTGAGGCAGGAGGGACAGTGTGCACTGGAGTGTATAAAACCACGTTTGTGCCCAAGGTCATGGGAGCCGGCTCTTCCGTTGTATCTGGGTGAAGTCAAGGAGGTGGGTGGGTCATCTAACTTTTCTCATATTTTCTGGCGAGTGATGCTTTTCCTTTTTCTTCCCTACAGTTTAGATTCCCATATACAGGATCCTTGTAAATTGCAACTCTGTCTTGTGAAATTTATTGGAAAGTCTGTCAAAGTGCTGTGACTCTGACTCATTTCCCTACTGATCCTGGAGTAGATGGGATCACAGCAGACATGCCTGTGGTTGGGACACAAAGCCTGGAAGGGAG